TCATAAACTGCTTCTCTTGTAACAGTATTTTTTTTGTTATTTATATGAATGCCTTTAGGAGATTTGGATAATTATTTGACTGAATGTTGTTTTAAAGCTTTTTGTTGCATAATAATGTTATACTGTACTGACAGATACAGTTTTAAGAAAATGGTCTGGGAGAAAAATATATTTATATTAGCACCCACAAAGGAAAAAACAGTAAAAGAAATACATGTTTATTGTATAAAACTTACCCTTAGTATTTTTTGTTATGTCTTTTAATAAAACCTTAAACCTGAATAAAACAAGAACTGACATCAAAGTGTGGAAAAGATTTCTTACTTTGCGGACAATAATTTTATTATGGACATGTCTGCTTTCACAGTAATTGACAAGCTGCCAGATGTATATTTATAGAGAAAGAATGGAGCAGGAATGTTTAAGCATAATGGAATACACAAATGCATGGATGGATGACAGATCAATGCACCTAAATGTAAAATATATGAATTGAAAGTGCAGAGATTTATGTTACATCAAATAGAAACAAACTACAAAGGATAAAATGCAAATACGAATATAAAAAGAACAGCATAAGAAATGCATTAGCCATACAAATATATCATATATAAAAGTAAATTTGGGTTGATAGGCAAAGTCAATTTTTCACTTATCTTAGTGAATGAGGAAAGCTAAGTGAAAATTCACATTGCAGAGAAAATACCAAATACCCAATCATGTGCAAGGAAAGTAAAAAAAAAGGATTTTTGCACGTGATTTGAAAATTCACTGGGCTAAGTATATTTTCACTTTGGAAAGGGGATTTTCACTTCACTTAGGGAATGAAGTAAAATTGTGATAACTTAAATCATCCAATTATGTGAATGCGCAATTCCGTTTTTTCTTTTTTTTGCTTTCATGTGATTGGGTACATTTTGCAAAGTAAATTTTTCACTTGGATTTATCACATTCAATAAGCTGTGCCTATTGGGAAAATTCCACTCATTTTCTGTTGGGACAATATTTGGTGATAACATTTTCCAATGGAGTGCCATCTGTCCCTGTGATGCCTATAGTTCCCATTACATGTATTGGCATCTCAGTGATAGGAAGTAAGGGAAATCTCAGTCACAGAAAGAAATACAAATGTGACAAATTATAATTTTTCTCCATTCTATCCAAAAACTAAAAAAAAGAAAAAGAATTGCCTGGAGTTGGGCTTTAATTATTTAACTATATCTTGTGTACTTGCAAAGCTTCACACATTGCTAGCAACTTCTTGGTTTAGCTACTTTTCCCCCCAGTCTCTCACTTTCTCCCTTATTTTAACGTGCATGTCAAAAGCTTGCCCATACTTCATGTCTCTCTGTAATTCTTTTAGGTAAATTGAAAGTCTATTAAATGATAAGTGATTGTTGGCCCAGAAAATGCACTCCTGGTATACAGATATGATTTTGAACTGCTCAGTTTCTATTGACTTTGGCTATGGCAGATTGGAGCAAACAGGTAGGTCAAGCACCTGACATCACAGAAAAGTCAAGACACATGGAGGTATTTGCTTAATTCTATATATGACCAGTATTAGTCAGTGGGGTTGATTTACTAAAAGTACATACACTGTTCATTTTATAAGGGAATGTGCACTTTGCAGGGGAAGTTTCTCGTAGCATGGTGAATGAGGAGAAATTTCACTTTCCAAACAATACCCAATCACATGCAAGGGAAATAAAAAAATAATACAGTATCTTTGCTTGCAATTGATTGGATAATGGAAGTCAGTAGAACTTCACCTCACCTCATTCGATAAACTAATGGCAAACTTCCCCTCCAAAGTGTAAATTCTCTTGCAAAGTAACAGCCTATTTGCCTTTAGTAAATCAACCCCAGTGCATCCAGATATGATGGTATCAGCTCACAGTCCCAGGCAATTTTGGGGTATACAGGTCTTTTGTGGGTGTTCTAGTTTAATGTGAAAACAGTCAGTGCTGAGATCAGATGGTGCCCAGAGTATCGGCATTGTTATTTTTATGGGCACCTTTAATATATAAAAAATACTAAATATAGAATATGTAAAGGGCGGGATGGGGAGGGGGCTCACATAGTTGGGGAATACATTGTAATCTAATGTCCCCCATGCCATCAGCTAAATAACGACAAACGTATGCATTTATATTTCCATATCCAAAACAAAAAAATGTAATTTCCTATTTCTCAAGCAAAAATATTTTTGTTTTGGGATTATTTAATGACTGTGTCATATGCCAGAGCTTTCAGCACAAATGTCACTCCACTGTAATGATTGCAGGAATACAATTATTTAGTGTATTCCAAACCTTTATACATTTTTGTGACATTTTAAAGAAGACTGAACAGTGCATTTTCCTCCAGAAAGAAGAAAATATACTGTGGTACAATCAAAAACAAGTTTTGGTACTGAGGGGCTGAATAACCCGTATGGGAACTCTTTACCTCAAGGGACTCTGCTGGTTAGATAACCCCATTTCAGTTCTTTCCATCCTGTTTCTAATGCAGCCAGTAGACATGAAATGGCAGTCACTAATTTAATTTCTATAGTAGCAGACAGATGCCCCTTCTCTGAGAAATTTTGGGAAACATTGATCAAGCCAGCCAGAACACCTCAACCCTGTGCTTTAGCCTGACGTAAGCCAACATCTAGCAATACAACACACCTCCTACCCTTCCCTCTATAAGTAGCCTAAGGCTCCCCAACTTGTTAACCTCTATTTGCTTGCCATGTATTATATTTTTTTACACCAAGTAAACACAAGGAAAAGCAAAAATGAATGTCTACTTAGGCTCTTCAGACCACCATGCTGCATTGTAATGCCCTTACCCCTCCTGGACTACCCCTATTGCATTCGTTTACAAGAGAAAAATCCAACATGAGACTGCTGAATGTGGACAGTTTAAACAGAGATAACATCATCTGAACTCCTGACAAAGTAAGATGTTGGGTGATTCAGTTCTCCGGTATCTACATGTGTTTCAGGTGTACTCCTTTAATAGGTTTTGGAACAACCCCTAAACTAAGATGTCACACTAAAATAATGTGTTCTTCACCTGTTTTCCCATGCCAGGAGCCACTGTGCTAAATCTTTATAGTGCCTGTGCCAATATATACCAGCACTCGTCTCCCAGAACTGAAAGCTACTGGTATCGTAGTCATGTATTAATTTAAAATCAAACAGCAACATTTTATAAAATAATTCCATATGGTTTACAATGTCCAGTGCTCTACACACAAAAGTCAATACCTATGCCTCCCCATGTTCTCAAATGGCAAAGAGGAATACATCTCAGCCTGACAATGTTTAGTTT